TGATCAAAGCTGCCCAACCTATGACCCAACTGAATTAGTCAAGCTGTGGAGTGAATTGAAGAACCTGGCACATTACCAACCCAACTTCTGAGTGATGACTTTTGAACCAATATTTGGTCACAATAACCCAACTTACAGTGGCTTGCAAAAGTATTCGGCCCCCTTGAACTTTTCCACATTTTGTCACATTACAGCCACAAACATGAATCAATTTTATTGGAATTCTACGTGAAAGACCAACACAAAGTGGTGCACACGTGAGAAGTGGAACCAAAATCATACATGATTCCAAATATCTTTTACAAATAAATAACTGAAAAGTGCGGTGTGTGTAATTATTCAGGATCCAAGAAGAAGACCATCATTTCATGTGGCTACCACTTTGGCGCCAGCTGTGGTCTCAAGGCTGGAGCCGAACAAAAACACCCTGATAACAGACTGTCCATAGACTGTTCTTCTTATCCTACTCAAGGCCACCTGGGTTGGCTGGAGGACTGTTTACTTAGCCTAGCAGGGTGAAGGACACTGTCTCAGCTGAACTCTGGACACACGCACACAATCATACACTGATACACACTCATACCCTCTCGCTTTCCAAACGCCTTCGATGCTTGTTCCCTCCTGGTGCAGATGGTCAACTGGACCAGCGCAGACATGCTGCAGGACCCGATGCGCTGTCCACACCGGCTCTCTCTTACCCTTACCCGCCCCTGTTGCTTGTCTTGTGTTTCTATGGTGTATTGATAGTCATGTGCTTTTACGCTGGGGTGGTTTTTTTTCTGTTCTCAAACTGTTCTCCCGTTAGGAGCTCAGTCTGAGTGGAGTTTTTTTTCCTCCTCCTCTCACCTCATGTTATGTATTTCGTTGTTTTTTCCTATCAGCCTACCTCTCTGACATGTCTTCCCAATGTGATGTTTGTGTAACGGTCAGAAGGTTCCTTTGTAAGTGTGCATGCGCCATTAGCGTGCTGCCTGCTGTAACCCATAATTTTCTTCGGGATTAATAAAGTATTCTCATTCTGATTCAGCAGGGACAGGGAAGCTGGTCAGAGTTGATGGGAAGATGCATGGAGCCAAGTGCAATCTGTCATGGTCCTGGGTCATTGACCCAGCGTTTTGTGTTTCATTTTGGTTTCATCTTGTGTTTGGTGTTTATTCTGAATTTGTATTAGTTCTTTGGGTTTGGTTGTCGTGTTTATTATCCCTACCTGTGTCTTCCCTCTGTGCTCCGTTTGGGTCCCTGCGTTTGGTGTTGTTAAGTCTGTGTGTTTCCGGATTTACTTTGTAGGTCTGCTTCTTGTTATGTCCATTAGTGTCAGCTGTGTCCACCCCTGTGTGTCATCTCCTCATTACCTGATGTGTATTTATAGTGTATGTTGGCCTGTGCTCCTCGTCGTGTCGTCTGTGTTCATCCTCTATGTTTCTCAGTGAATCCTCCGTGTAACTCCGTCTTTATCTGTGTCTCTCCGCGTCTCTCTGCCCAGCATTTCATCAGCTGCCATCTCTATACATCTCCCACCGTTCTTATGTTTTCAGGCTTGTTTGTTAGTTTTTCCCAGTTTAGGTTTATGTTCAGTTCTGCCCTCACCTTTGTTATTTTCACTGTAAATAAATCGCCACTCGCATCTCCACTGCCATCTGCATCTTGGATCCTCATTCACTCCACCACACGACTGCGACCCCAGCCGTGACACAATCTTGGAAGAAAACCTCTTGGAGTCTGCAAAAGACTTGAGACTGGGGCGGAGGTTCACCTTCCAGCAGGACAACAACCCTAAACATAAAGTCAGGGCAACAATGGAATGGTTTAAAACAAAACATATCCATGTGTTAGAATGACCCAGTCAAAGTCCAGATCTAAATCCAATCGAGAATCTGTGGCAAGATCTGAAAACTGCTGTTCACAAACGCTGTCCATCTAATCTGACTGAGCTGGAGCTGTTTTGCAAAGAAGAATGGTCAAGGATTTCAGTCTCTAGATGTGCAAAGCTGGTAGAGACAGACCCTAAAATGACTGGCAGCTGTAATTGCAGCAAAAGGTGGTTCTACAAAGTATTGACTCAGGGGCAATGTTCCCTCTAATTTGTCCTGTGTCTGAGCGAACACACAAACTCCCTGAGCGGTCCCTTGGACCACTGTGAGCAACAGCAGACATGTGCACTGTGGTCACGCCAGCATTGAATCCATCCAAGTTACATGGTTTATTAAAATAATCAAATTACAGCATTTACATTTATGTTAGACTACTTTTAATTAACTGCTTTAGCCCACTTACAATGAAAATTTAAAAAAAATATTGTTCATGACCTGTGTAGTATGTTAACACTATTGGAAGCAAAAATAACTTGAACTCCAATTTTGAAAACACAACTTTTTTTTTTCTATAAAGCTCTGACTTGTATTATGAGTCTGTGGTCTGGGAGAGAGTCCTGTAACTCTCTGTCTGCAAAATACAGTATATAATGACCAATGTTGGGCAATTAATTATATAGTTACTTCTTCAAAAAGTAACTGAGTTATGAAAACAACAAAGTTTTTTGCAGCTGTTTACCTAAAAATGCAGCCAAGGCGTTTTTTAAATAAACATTTCAAACTATTTACAGAACAATCAGCTGTTCTGCATCACATCTGATGCCAAACTAATTATTTGTGCCACTCCAAAAAATCATTTCTGTCCACTATGAGATAAAGTAGAACAACAGCCTGATACCTGCAGGCCTGACAACAGGAGGTGTATCACTCCTGTAACACCTGTAACACTCAGCAGTCGCCTCATTGTTCTGACACACACAAAACTATTGACTACACTACGCACTCACTACACAAGATTTGCGCTAAACGTTGCAAATCTCTCACATCTCAAAACACCGCCATCACTCCTAAAACTTCCCGCTTCCTAAGCAACTCTAAATGCCATGTTGCCATATCATTTTTTTGATTGGTTGACATGGTACATTTTTCCACCATTAGGAAAGGGTGGGGTTTTTTTGTTTTTGTTTTTGCTCACAGGCTCAGAGTGCTTTCGAGCGCTTTCCTTATAAAACGCAGTTTTTACCGTTGCGTCCCGCAGTAAACATAAACAACGATAGTATTCAGGAAGAAAACCAAACATTGCATATATATATATATATATATATATATATTTGATCATAACTCTTGTTTTACGTGGCATAATTACGCACACCCCACTTTTCAGTTATTTATTTGTAAAAAATGTTTGGAATCATGTATGATTTTGGTTCCACTTCTCACGTGTGCACCACTTTGTGTTGGTCTTTCACGTGGAATTCCAATAAAATTGATTCATGTTTGTGGCTGTAATGTGAAAAAATTTGGAAAAGTTCAAGGGGGCCAAATACTTTTGAAAGCCACTCGATGTAATAGAAATTTCCATACCGTACATAAAATGAACAGCGTCTTTTTTTCATGATTATAAAATAGATTTCTTGTAGCTACTTTTTCCTTGTCTTGTGTCATATCATAACTGCGTGACATGTTTATTAAATATCTTTGGGCTAAAAAAGAAAAGAAAAGAAAACTAGGGCAAACAAAACAAAGTCATGTATATAGAGACAATCATAGAGTAGCGATGACAGATGGACTGCATGTATTGTCTAAGTTGGGTGTGTGCATGTGTGACGTCAAATGTACATATGCGGGAAGAACAAAGGGGGCTTTTGGTTTTCAGACAAAAATATTTAATCATATGAGGTTAAAGTTCTTCTGTTCTTTTCTTCTGTTCTAAATGCTGTGGATATGAAATTCCTTTGGTAGTTCACATGGTGCAACAGCAGCCATCACACAAACCCCAATGAAAGGGAATAGATTGAATTTATGCTTCCTGTATTGTGCTTAAGCAAACTTTTATTACTTTTGGTGGGCTTCAGGTATGCTATGTGTACAATTTAAATTTAAATGCAACTTTTTCACCATTCATTACACAGACACTGAGTTTTCGTTATCGTCTGGATTCTCAATTTTTTATTTGTTTCATGGTTGTCAAGCAATCAAGACTATCCCTTGAACATCGGGTGTTCTGGAAATAAGTAAAAAGCAGTTAATTTGGGAAAACAAAGCAATTTCTTAAGAAGTAAAATAATTTTGCTGAGCTGTTTTAATAAAGTAGAGAAAAAGTGGATTTCTGCATCACCAATGGTGATGTAAATAAAACAAAAAGCAGCTCAAAAGCAGTAATGCTGAATATAAAGAAGAGAAAAAAATAGTTGTTCAAAGCAACCATTTTCACATGGGGGACAGAAACGTCAGTTTCATGACTTATAAATTTTAAATTTACATACAAAACATTGGCACGGCTTCCCATGTCTCCAAGTAAATGGACTTTGGTTAGAGACCTGAAATACTGTCGTGGTGAACACAAAAAACTTACATGTGTTGAGTTTCCCTCTGTGTGTGTGTACAACACTGTAGTTTTTAATACTGAGAGCAGTGTGTCAGGATTTTTAAGATGAATCATTATCAATTTCAAACTCAAACTCAAATATCTTATTTTAATGCTTTTACTTTACAATATAAAACAACTTGAGGTGACTTGTTGTTTACAACTTATTGTAAATCGGGGCCCATATAAATAAAACTTTATTGAACTGATTTGTTTATCAAAGTTTTTGTAATTACAAAAGGAAAACGTTTTCCTCTCGTTGGGCATTCTGAAGTAAAAGGTCATTACTGACAAACATTGCTCTTGCATAAGATGGAGGGGACATTTCAAGTAGGGCATACTGTAATAACCAGAAAACTCACACTGACACCTCTAACCAACCACTGCTGAAAGAGTTTACAAAAATAAAATATAAAAAAATAAAAAATAAAAAAATGGAGACCAAAGATAATGTCTGAAGTTCCTGGCAACCGGATTAGCCCTGCCTTCACAGTACATTATTGTCAGACAGACAACCATGAAACTTTTCTCGTACTACAACATGCCCCAGCCTACTTTTGCCTAATGACTTTCTTTTGTGCAGAGACTTTATCACATTCATCATGTCGCTCTCTGCACTGGTGCTGCTGCTGCTGCTCGTCTGTGTCCAGGCTAATTTTTATGGTATAGTGGTGAACTACTACCCAAGTGGCAATAATTCAACAGGAGCTTCCACTGTAAGTACACTTTCTTAAAAAATCAAGTAAATTTACTTTGTGAGTTTTAAAATTATTTAGGTAAACATGTCTTCACTGTAAATCTGCAGGGCATTCTTTATTACAAGTTGGGCTACAGCCTCTGCTTGTACAGTGTGCCCTACTACATCAACGGTCAGCCACTTGTGCTACAAAAGGTCGATGAGCCGATAAGTGGAGAGTGGTGCCAAACTGAAGGAGTCATCTCTCAGTATTTTTCCAGCAACTCTATGTTTTCAATTCCGTGAGTGCAGCCATACATAATTACATATGCATAAATATAGTCTTTGTTGTTGATTTGTCACTGAGGGGGAATGAAATTTAATACCACAACTTCTGAGAAGTCATTCATTTCTATTGCAGGGCCTCTGGCATAGACTGGATCTTTGGCATCAAAAATGGCATTGTATCATTTAAAATTCAGGCTCTGGTGGAACTGAGGATCCGCTCTGACATTGGCAAAGCCAACACATCACCACAGACCACTATCATACCAGCTATCAGGTCAGCCCTGTTTGTGGCTCCATTTCTTTTTTAGTAATTATACAAACATACATACATTCATACAATTTTATGTGTCACTTCTGGTAAATTCATTGCCTTTCAGACACCGAAAGTTTCTGTGTAGAGATGGATAAGGATAGAGAAGTCTTAAAGGGAAAAATTAACCTTTGGTCCTCCTTCATTAATGCAATTTTGAAGCTCTTGAACCATAAAACCTGAACAGTGTCCAGGCTGTGGGTGTACTGAGTAGTTTTCAAACATGAACATATAAAAATGGTGTCAGATATTTCACAGAAATGAATGAATGAATTTGATTATTTTATATTTTTTATTCATTTATTTCTATTTTAACTTTCTTTCAGAGTTCCATCAAACTGTCCAAGAAATTTGAGCCTGTTGATGTTTGATCCTGATGGAGACATAGTGAAATGCAGAAATGGAGATGCATCACTCTCAGAGTGTAGTCCCTGCACACCACCGTCTGTCCTCAGCCTTTCACCAGTAAGTAACAGCTATTACTCTTTTTGTCACACGGGACATGTTGGCATAAACATGAATCCTCGTGTACCAATCTATACTAAATCTGATTGTAATGAATTTTTTAAACTATTTTGTAATAAGGTCGCTGCCATCAGGTCTAATATTTCTCCATCATCCTCTCAGTATCACATTTGCACTTTGCTTACTTCTGATGCCTGGTCCTCTTTTGCTCCTGTTACCTTAGAGGACATTAGTGCTCTGCTTGGTCATATGAAACTGACTTTAAACCACACTGACGCACTTCCTCCATCAGTTTTCTTTAGTGTGTTTGACTCTATTGGCACCTGTATTCAGGAAATAATTCATTCTTCTCTTTATACCTGCTCAGTTCCCAACTTTTTTTAAGCAAGCTATTGTTAAACCAATATTAAAGTTTAGGTCCATCTCTTCCAGACAGTTACAGGCCAATATCATATTATTTGTGTCAAAGAAAAATCGGTTGCAGAACAACTTAACAACCTTTTGGAGAAAACAATGTTCTAGACATTTTTCCAGTCTGGTTTCCGCAAATTGTACTCCACTGAAACGCTTCTTACTTGAAGTGTCTAGTGACATTTTAATGGCAGCAGACACTGGAGAGTACACCGTTCTGGTTATATTGGATCTAACCTCTGCTTTTGATACTGTTGATCACAGTGTCATGATAAATAGGCTTAAGGATTTGTTCGGGATTACTGGTGTTGTTTTAAAATGCTTTATGCCGTATCTATCTGATCTTTTACTGTCTTTATGAATCAAGTGTTGTCCGAAACATCAGCTTTGCCTTCTGTGGTACCTCAAGGATCTGTTTTAGGTCCGATCCTCTTTTTGCTTTATATATTCCCTCTAGGCAAAATTATCAGATGTTACAATAATATTTCTTATCATCTCTATGCAGATGACATTCAGTTATACACTCCTTTCAAAGCTTCTGAGTTATATAAATTGGCTTGTTTAAATAATTGTCAGGAATCAAACAGTGGTTAAACAACAATTTCCTCCAGTTAAATACAGATAAAATAGAAACTTTGATTGTTGCTCCTGATCTTATGATTTCAGAAATTAAGCAGGATATCAGTTTTTTAGGCTCTTCCGTTCAATCAAGTTTCGGGCAAGTCTTGGACACCCAAATCAAGAGACTTGGGTCTCATATTTGGTTGTTCAATGTCTCTTGAGAAAAACTTCAAACAAACTAATTTGAAACTGTTTTTATCATCTAAGAAACATTTCTAAACTCAGCCTACTGGTGTTAAAGGCAGAACTTGAGATGATTATTCATGCTTTTATTTCTTCTTGATTGGATTATTGTAATGGTCTTTTTACTTGTTTCAACAAATCAGCTTTGGTTCGCCTTTAGACTATACAGAATGCTGCGGCAAGACTTTTAATTGGCACAAACAAGAGGTCACACATTATTCAATTTTTTGCTTCTCTTCTTTGGCTACCAGTAAATGTACAAATTGTAGTTGTAAAAAAACTTTTGTGAAAAGTTCTAAATAATTAATTTTTACTTACTTACTTGCAATGATGCTTGATCATAGCAGCATTTCATATCATATCTGGCAAAGTTGGTATAAAAAACAAATCAAAACCCCTGCTTTTTGTTAATTTAGATAAGTGTAAACTCTATGTGAGGTGTCTTCATGGCCCAATTTTTGTCTTCTTGCAGTCCTCTTGTACTCTGTCATTCAGCCCGACAAACAGCAGTGATGAAGGTCCGTATGCGGTACAGCTGATGATAGAGGACTTTCCCAGACAGAACATAACGTTGACTCAAACCAACGGGCCACAAACAATAATAACAACCAACGACGCTATCAGCAAAATGCCAGTTCAGTTTGTCGTGAGAGGTACAAATAATTTCTCCTGGCTCCTGCTTAATGGCCCTGTTATTTTGGCCTTTTTTTCTTTTCACCCTGAAGCTAACATTACTTTATCCTTACTGCAGAAAATCCAGAATTTTTTAAGATTTAAAAAGCTTGTCTTTATGGCTGCTTATGAACTTGGAAAAAGCTTTCTCTTGGCTACCTGTAGATGAGAAAAACAATCCTGGTGGACCAGTTAGAGCAGGGATAGGGAACGGTAGTCCTCGAGAGCTGGTGTCCTGCAGGTTTTAGATCTCACCCTGGGTCACCACACCTGAATCAAATGATTAGTTCATTACCAGGCCTCTGGAGAACTTCAACACATGTTGAGGAGCTAATTTAGCCATCTAAATCAGCTATGCTGGATCAAGGACACATCTAAAACCTGCAGGACACCGGCACTTGAGGCCTGGAGTTCCCTACCCCTGAGTTAGAGTTTCTATCCTTAAAAAATGTCTTTATTATTGTCATCACTGCTTTGTGTGTTGCTTCAGTGGATCCTGCAGTGCCATCGTGCACAGAGGGACTCTTTCTACCCATGTTCCTGCCTCCAACCCCAGCCCACAGAACCCAGCTCTACACCTACGTCAATCAAACTCTGGCTATCAGCATCAAGGCACAGACACTTAACTCCACGTAAGTAGATCTCTAAATATAGAATTAAAGGCTTTATTTGTTAAATTACCAATGATTAACACATCCTGCAGCACTGAATGTTTCTGCAAATTAAGATGTAGCTTTAATGCACAAATCAAACCTGTTTTTCATTTAATCAGATCATGAATCTTATCTTCTGAGTTGTGTAACTTTAACACTTCTAACTGCGCTTCTACAGATAGGTTTGACAAGCCAGCAACCCAACCGGTTTTGTACTGATGTTAGGATGTACTAGCACTAGGTTAAGCTAAGACAATTAAAGAGAAACAAGAATAAAATAAATAGCTTTTTAGCCAAAATTGCTTGATTTTTACAGTAAATAAAATCTAAAATAATTATTTCAAAAATTATATAAAAGTCTGATATCCGGTCAAAATTTCACTCTAATAGTTGAAGCATTTACAGCATGTCACAGGTAAACACTTTTTTCTTATTGTAGATCATAAACTTTTTAAAAACTCACTTTTTTCTTGTTTTGTTTTTTTTAAAGGATCTCTGAGCTGCTGTTCAGCGCACCGCACACAGTAACAGAAAGTCAAACAGGCCCAGGACAGTTCACACTGACGTGGACGCCATCTAACTCAGTAGCTGGACAAAGCCACCCCATTTGTTTTGTTGTCCAAGCTGTTTTAGGGTCAGTATCCTGTTTCATGAATACGATCCTACACAAAAGTATATTGAAACTTTCATTAAAACAAAGTGAAATGGAGCACATGTAATTTGCACATACATTTGAGTCTACTTCTGTTCCAATGAAACTATTTAACTTTGAGGACTGACTGGCTTAGTTCATTGCCTGCACTTTTTAATTTTGCTTTTATATTCACTCCGTCCAACCTTCATTCCTGTAAATCTTTCAGACGCAGGCATGTTAATTATCGTATCAAAACAAATGGAAGGAAGACTTAGAAAAGAAACCAAAATTCATTGAAGACAGTAGACATGGGTGTGTCAAATACCTTTGAGGAATTACTCCATAACAACAGAGACATACCTGAATGTGTGTGACAAGATCTACTTGATAGTTGAAAGAAGAGCAGAAACAGATAAAAACGGCAATGTTTTATAAAACAAGAACTGCCTCAGTAAGTAAAACAATGAGAAGAAAGAGAAAGAAGAGCAACACAGTGAGTCCAAACACAGTATACGGTCCAGCTGCAAACAAAGCTTTTTACTGTATTTGTGATGAGAACAGGAAGACTGGCCAAGTCAGTTTCCACATTTAAACCTGTAAATACTAAATGCAACATAGGTTAATGTGCCAACTTATAACTATAACTAACTGCAACTAACTATAATTTAATGCTAAAAACCTAAGTTTTTTCAATCTGTCCAAATTAATAAGATACCAAGTCCACAGCAACATACAAGTCTCTCCTTGTAAAGGCATACACATGTTATCTTTCCTTTCATAGCTGATTCATTATTTGGTGCACACTATTTTGTTAGTGTCTGATAAGAAAAATACTTAAAGCTTTTGTCCTTTTGAGTATAAAATCATGACTGTTGAGTGTTGAAGGGTACTGAGCCCACATTTTACCTGCTGAAATCCTGCCTCACTGGAAGAGCATTTCTAACAAAGATAGTAACGTTTAATGGTTTGGAGACTTGATGTTGGGACTGCATTAAATAATTGTGCAACAAATAAGTTTGATTTTATTTTTTATACTTGCAGAGTTACATGTAAACTTACTGATGCTAATTTTTTTTTAAAGCTATTCATAAGGCACTGCTTTTCATGTTCTTTGACTTCAATCCAAATCCATCAAACTGTACCAAACTGAAAAACATTTTTATTTAGATATGTAACTGTAAGATAAACTCTCTAAACATTAAAAAATATGTATATTAAAAATAATGTAAAATGCATTTTGATAAAGAATCTCTTGTACTGATTTATTTTCACAGGGCAGCCAAGTACCACTCTGAGCTTCGATGTGTCATTGCGACCGTTGGTGAGCAGTGTTTTAACGTCCAATACCAACAGCTACACAACTGATACAGTTCATGAGTAACCTCTGTTTCAACTTTTTACAGCATTGCCAACTACATCACCCAATACACCAGCGTGTGAGTATGAAGGCCTGGACTAAATCAAAGTTAGCCTGATTTATCAGATTTAGAGAATAAATAGAAAATAGTAGAAGAACAGAAACTAGTACTTGCATTAAAAATGAATCAAACCAAATGGAGAGTCCAAAATGAATTGTGCTGGATCATCTTAATTTCATTTTCATCTTTATCACAAAACCTCTACTAGAGGGTGGAGTGGTATGTTAAAATCTAGGGCTGGCCAGCTTAGTTAACAGTGTTGGTCAAGTTACCTGAAAATAGTAGTTAGTCACTAATTACTGATTACTTCTCCAAGAAAGTAATCCCATACTTTACTGATTCCTTATTTTCAAAAGTAAGTTACTTTATTAATTAGTTACTTTTAAAAAACATGATACACAACCTGAAAATGTAATAAAGCAATAGACATTTCAGCCCAATTCTATTTTTTCTGCATATAGAAAATCTGTTTTGTCTGTTTTTAAAACTTGTTTTATTACTTAAATTTTTTTTTTACTTTACACACATTGCATCAAGCAAAAATTAAGGAAGAAATTTGTTTAACATTTAAACCAATTTCCTGCATATTTCAGCATATAAAATAAAATATTTTTTTGTGTTTACACTCTTTCAAATAGATGCAAGTAAAACACAGCAAAAAATAAATAAAATCAAAGCGGCACTAAATCCTGTCGCTCTTAAATAACCTTTTTAACCGGAGTGGAGCAGGTGGAGATTTGCCCAGTGCCACAGCGGTCATGTCAGTAGGGGGATCCGGGGGTTTCTCTGTGAATTCTACATTCTAGTGGCAGCGAACTAGGTGGTTGCTCAGATTTAAAGTTTAATTTTTTGCTTTAAAAGAAGCTTTTCTTCCCATGCGGGCTAATGTTTTTGTCACTTTTCACAGAATCAAACTCAAAGTAATGTCAGTATTTCCAAGCTTTAAACGCTGCATGGTCGTACTCTGTCCCGCACTCCATATTAACCATTGTTGACCTACACGCGTCTGTTCCTGACATGGACGTCACACGCTCGCGCATCATTGTCATTAGACACTCTCACAAACAAAATCACAGTTTAGTAACGCAGTAATGCAGTGTGTTTAAACAAGTAAACAGTGAATGTAACAGTAATTTAATTGCTTTTTTGAAATAGTAATCACTTACTTTACTCATTACCTGAAAATAATGTAATCAGATTACAGTAAAGCATTATTTTTAACGCACTGGCGACCATCTGTTAATTAACAAACTACATAAAAAAATAACAACCCAAACGTTCTTGTTGGTTTAGAGACTAACATGGTGTCTTTGTGTTTCTAGATGTTGCAGCTCTGAAAATGAAGTTGTCTTCTACAGTGGACTTGTCTCAAATCAATAGGGATCTCTTCTTAAATCAGGTTAGAATTTTTCTTATCCAGAGTTAAACTGACCCCTGTCCAAACTGACCTCCTGCAACACTAACGTTTTGGACATGTGGTGTATACTTGTATACAGCGAATAACAAATGTATTAGAACACATGTCATGAAAACCAGAAAACAAAAGTAGCTTAAAAGTCTGCAAAAGAAAACTTGCTTAAAATTCATATTGGTATTCATTAAGAAAATAACAATTTGTATTCACATTTTCAACTAAGTAAAGTAAAATTAAAAAATGTATTCATATAGCACCTTTCAAGATAAAATCACAAAGTGCTTTACAGAGACAGAAAACAGACATTAAAATCTAAAACAAAACAAAATCAACCAAAAGCGAGTTTAAACAGATAGGTTTTTAACTGCTTTTTAAAAGACATGACTGAGTCCACAGATCTCAAACTCAAAGGGAGTGAGTTCCAGAGTCTGGGAGCCACTGATACAAACGCTCTGTCACCTTTTGTTTTTAACCTTGTATGCGGGACAACCAGCAACCCCTGGTCACAAGACCTCAGGGACCTGCTGGGGTGATAAGAAAGAAGAAGATCACTTAATAATGTGATCTAATGTAAGTTGGAGCTACACCGTGCAGGGCCCTATAAGTCATGATTATGATCTTATATTGGACCCTGAACTTGACAGGGAGCCAATGCAGCTGAATCAGCAGGGGAGTGGCATGGGAGTATTTGTGATGCTTTGTCAGAAGCCTAGCAGCAGCATTCTGAACACCCTGCAGTTGTTCCAGGGAGGCATTGCTTAAGCAAGTAAACAAGGAATTACAATAGTCTAAGCGAGATGAAACAAAAGCATCAATAATCATTTCCAATTCGGAACGTGACACAATGGGACTCAGCTTAGCGATATCATTCACGAATTTCAGCTGGCGCACTGGACTTCTCTGAGAAATCTCTGAGCATAATTATGCTGTGTGGCAAGAAATGTATTTTGAGTCATTTAAAAGTCTGCACTCATGACTCACGTTATGACATATTTCAACAAATATACATTTTCCTCAACATAAAAATATTAAAACTGTTTTGCAGATGACATCTCAGATCCACTTTTCAAAGAAAAACCACACTTGAGAGAGCGGCGATGTTTTCTCACTGCTCCTTCTTTCTCCCCAGATTAAACAGAAACTGCAGTCATACGGACTGCCAGATGACATCAGTCTGCGCCTCATAAGCAGTGTGCCACAGATTGGCGTAACTGCAGCGTCCTCTAATTCTACAACATGAACCTGAAGTCCTGCATCTTCAGTCTTTCTGTACCAATTGGAAACATCTGTGTGGAAAGATAATACAAAATCTTACTTATCACACATAATTTTGCATTCAACCTGTCTGTCATAAAAATTGGTGATAAAACATTATTTGAAGTAGTGTTAAATTTTTAAAGGAATCATTCAAGATTTGTAATGTGTGTAATATAGTTCTAGATAATTCTATTTCTTATACTCTCAGTGTATATATACATGCTTTTTTGGCGTCAGAAAGCGGTTCTTCCACATCTTAGCAATCAGTAGTTAGAAAAAAAAATCTAACAAACAAAACAGTACGATTTTTGAAAACAATTTTTTTTCTACAAAATAAGTCAAACATTTTTCTTGTTCTCTAATACGTACAGTGGCTTGCAAAAGTATTCGGCCCCCTTGAACTTTTCCACATTTTGTCACATTACAGCCACAAACATGAATCAATTTTTTTGGAATTCTACGTGAAAGACCAACACAAAGTGGTGCACACGTGAGAAGTGGAACCAAAATCATACATGATTCAGAACATTTTTTTACAAATAAATAACTGAAAAGTGGGGTGTGCGCAGATAGATATATATATATATATATATGAATACCACTTTGAGCGCAAATTGGATCAAATCTTGGGAAGTGCACTGCGGTCGTGAGTTCTCAGAACCTGCTCTTTGAGCAGTTTGGATAACATCATAGAAAGCTCACGGCTCTCCAACGGGAGATTGAGAGACCAGTGTTGGACTGTTAGAACAGCTTTGAAATTCATATGAGTTGTTCGCACTAAAGTAAAAACCATCATCACTTCATGCGGAGACCCCTTCGGCGCCAGCTGCGGCCTCAAGGCTGGAGCTGAACAAAACCCCCTGATAACGACTGTGTTTAGACTGTTCCCCCCATTCCATGCAAGGCCACCTGGGTTGGCTGGAAGACTGTTTACTTAGCCTGGCAGGGCGAAGGACACTGTCTCAGCTGAACTCTGGACACACACACATACACTGATATGCACACACTGATCCCCCCTCCCTTTCCAAACGTCTTCGATGCTTGTGCCCTACCGGCGAAGATGGCAGTCAACTGGACCAGCGCAGGACCGGATGCGCTGTCTACACCGGCTCTCTCTTACCCTTACCCGCCCCTGTTGCTTGTCTTGTGTTTCTATGGTGTATTGATAGTCATGTGCTTTTTGTGCTGAGGTGTTTTTTCTGTTATCAAACTGTTCTCCCACTAGGAGCTCAGTCTGAGTGGAGTTTTTTTCCTCCTCCTCTTACCTCATGTTATGTATTTTCGTTGTTTTTTTTCCTATCAGCCTACCTTTCTGACATGTCTCCCCAATGTGATGTTTGTGTAAAGTTGGTCAGAAGGTCCCTTTGTAAGTGTGCATGAGCCATTAGCGTGCTGCCTCCTGTAAATCTAATTTCCTTCGGGATTAATAAAGTATTCTGATTCTGATTAAGTCAACAATAACTACATAAATTGCAAAAAAAAAACATGCAATAAACATTTTTTTATATACTGCAGGAAAAATGAAAATAAATATTATAATGCAAATTTGCAAAAAGAAAAAAAAAAACCAGCATGTGCATCAAGTATTTCCAGCAGTGCAATGCAGAAACTATTTAGAAAAGCATGAAGTCAAACATGACTTTTAAAAACACCAGTGTAGGCTTAGAAGGCCCCAAAGGTAAAAAAGTAAATTTTCCGCAAAAATGACGTCACTTCCGGTTTGGGGCAGGTAATGGCAGACATGCAATAGTTTGCGCTGACATCTATTCCAACCTAGGAAGTTTTATGAACAGCTGATGTGTTTCTAGAATATTATATTTTTGTTGCTGCAAGTGCTTTCCTCGCAGTTTTTGCAAAGCTTTATGTGGAAGGAAACTGTGACTTTGGACTGGCATAATATGTAAGAACAACTCCTCCGGTTTCACATGCAAAAAAATTATCTTACGTGGTTCCAGTTCTACGGGGATTTAAAAATAGTTGCGCAAAACAGAGCGTGCCCGCTCCAGAGGGTTTTAAAGGGTTAATGTGCGCAGTGAAGGATTCCAGTTCTTGTGTTTGGGTTTTGACCCAGGTGGTAAGGCAGAGGTCTAACCGTGTGCAAATCTGATTGTGGATGAAGTTGGTTTGGTCTTCCACAGAGCTGTCTTCTCTGATTTCATCTGGATCCATGGTAAGTTTCTGGACCTTGTCGGTGAAGTCGAAGGGGTTCTTGATGTGATGTGGGGGTATTCCCCACAAGAGGTGCTAGGATGGTAGCAAGGTGTTTCGAAATGTAAGTGGCTGAGTTTATGCTGCTTACAATGGGTCTGAGTGGCACCCCTTCTTTGTGGATCTTAGGAAATCCGTACATGCAGGGTTTGGCATCCCCGG